ATATCTATAATATATATATATAGCTTATTTCTCCAATCTTGTTATCATAAAAATATTGAAGAAAGAGAGTAGTATAATTACTCAGAATAATAACTCCCTGTATATCGCAATAATACTTCAAAAAATTGAGCACACACACTTATTATCCAATAAATTATGTTAATCGTGTCCGAGATCCGAGATATTGAAATGTAAAATGTGAGTTACGGGAGCAAGAGAATTGCAGTTGTAAGAAATTACGAACAGTAAAAAGAGACTAATAAGCTAGTTCTTCCTTCGTGAAGAAATAATTTACTGACAGCAAAGCAAGTAAAAAAATTTAGTGTTTTCGACACACAGAGAGTGTTCACTACTGTTATTATTTTTCTTCGGCCGCTTCGCGTGTGCAGTACGTTCTCTCTTTCGGAGCAAAATACAATTTTCAAAGTGTACAGAGTTGTATATCAGCGCTTGAATTTTTTGATACGATGACACGCTGACGCATATTACAGTGACGCCGAGATAACAAGCACGTACAAAATATACGTTGTTCAACGAGATACGCAATGATAAAATTAAACGGAATACGCGCACAGATAATAATTGCTCTTTTATTATACGTCAGCTTAATCTGTTTTATGTGACACTTCAATTTCGTATATCATACTCAACGGGGCGAAGGCGCGCAGCGGGTGTATTAAAAACTGCGCGAGACTTCAGAATGTGCAACCGGATAATCGAGAGTTGTGAATTAATGAAAGAACAAGTAGATTGATGTCTGAGCACGTATAATTTTTGTAATTTTATTATTAGCGAAGCAAAAAAATTACGTAAAAAAATTAATTACAATCATTTCCATCTGCTGCAAAAATAAAACCGTAGCTTTATTTTTAGAATTTTATAGAATTTTGTAAAAAAAAAAGATTCACAGACAAATATCATCGCATTTTCAAAATATATGCTGTTATTAGTTAAATACTATTTTAAGACAATAAATTCTCTTTAATAAATTTATAAGTTTAATATTTAATTTAAAACACATTTATTTTATTCTGTTTTTTCTTATGAAATAAAACAATAGAAATATCACATCAAGCGAGCCTACCGATTGATAATCTTTTGCAGCAAAATCGAGATGAAAGCTTGAAGTTAGGCGTTTCTTTTCGCCACTTTTCACACATTCGTTCGAGCTAGCTTGAACGTTTCGGTGTCGGCATCTTACGGTATGAGAATAAACTTCAATCGTGCCAAATGGTTCTATTCTGTACTTATGTCCATATGTGTGTGTGTGTGTATGTGCGTGTGTGTATGCGAGCGCATATGTACGTATAATTAACAAAAAACTGTATTCTTGTCTCCAAAATAAAATTAATTGTTAAACAAATTGCGTACGGTGCAAATAATAATTTCAAACTTTTATATGAAAACATTAAACAAGCAGTAAAAATGATATAAAAATCGCATTAACGCAATCTATTATAAAATAGTTGTGTGCGCAATCAATCGATGTTGTGAGCGGATAGCTGGGCGGAATTAAAATTGCTCACGCGGTCTTTACGCAAAATTGCCGCGTCGGATTTCGTCGGAAAGCGGATGTTCATTGTCTTCATCGACGTGGTCACTCACGTCGCGAGAGTTGTCGCGTAAGAATTACACCTTACGACACAAAGTTGCATAAAGATAACGAGTGTGACATGCGATCAATGGGGGGACAGGCGCAATAAACTCTCTCGTTACGACTCACGTCACTCAATTGTCGCGGAATTTCTCCTCCCGCTTTGTTTGTCATTGCCCGAATGTAAATTCCAGATCGCCGTCCTTGCATACTTTCACCGTGATGGTTGGCGAGAACTGTAACACCACTTCGCAACAATCTTGTTGTTTTGACAACGCAAACAAATTTTGCAAAAAGTAATATGGATAATGTTTTTCAAAAATTGAGATAAAAAGAAAAAGAGAGCAAAAGCAAGAGACGTTACGGTTTCAATAAAAAACTTAAGTAATTTTTATTGAAAGATTTATTGGATTTATATATCGTTTATTGATATTAAAAATTAATTAACGACGCGATAGATTCATTGTGAGAATCAACATTGTTATTTCCACATCGTCCGCGATTCTCACGGGTAAAGACTCTTTGCAAGACGCGGAAAAAGCGGTGGGCTTCACTATGTTGCGAGCCGCGTTATTCCATATCACCCTTATTACTGCCAAGCTAAATGTCAAGAAGTTCTCTTATATGATCGAGAAAGTTAACCTGACGATTCGTATAATTACATAACTGACGCTCGTTGTTTGCGGAATTGTTTAAACCAAAATGTTGAATTGTGATATATATATTGCACACAATCTTATTTTCCGTCTCTCGTACTTCAGAAAGAAGATATTCTCGCTCAGTTTAATAAATACATAATATAATTGAATATAAAAAATTTGTATATAAAAATTTGATATTACGTTTCTGAAAATCAAGGGTGCTTCACGTGGTCAAGGACTTTTGTCTCGATTAAAGCCGTGTTATACTTGCATGTCTGCCAGTCGGTTAAGCAATGTCGAGGAATTACTTGTCGTCGATCGCATTCTACAAGGTAATGCGGCGCAATTTTCTCAATTCATATCTTTAGACTAAAAATAACAACACAAAATTATTAAAAAAACCAGATCATCTGCTTACACAACGACACCCGTGTTTTGCTTCAACTGCCTCTCATCTGGTTTTTTTAAATATTTGGAGCTTCGTTCTTTTCTTTAATTTACACAAAATTATTAAGTTACAGCTGTTTTTTTCTCTTTTGCCTTTTTTTTAGTCAATTTTAATTTAAAGAATCTTAAGATGAGAAAGTAGAAAAAAATACAAGTTTTTAAAAAAATGCAGACATAACAACTCTATTCGTTGTTTTTTGTTACATCATTTTGAAAGGACGGGCAAAAACTGGTTTTTATCCTCCAAATGTATAAATAAGACGGACGGGGGGTGTTCTTCGAATAATTTTGTACATTAACTCACATCATTTGCATTTCAGTATGAGAACAATCCGTATATATTAAATGTGAGATGTAATCGGTGATTTTGCCGTTGCTACCGGTGTTCCGCCTATTACACGACGCGTTTGAATTTGATCGAGATTGTATTGTAAATACAAATTAAAAGAATCTGAAAGATGTAGCAGAGAAAATTTCAGTCTCTTTATATGGTGTGTACCTAGATTGCTGCTGAGGTTGAGGCGGAGGTCCATGGGCGGGTCCCCGCCGCTCCCGAAGGGGACCTATATAAGTAGAGTCGCTCGCGGTATACCGCGATCCTGTAACACAATCACTTCTGCCTCATCAACAACCGCAGACATGCGTCTTCCCGTGAGTATCATTACCTTTATCATTTTTTCTCTCTGTTTCGCTTCATTCATTCATTCGCGATAAAGAAGCACCGACGTAATAACAGTTCCGCGACAAACTCTAATTCTTTTAATTCTTTTAATTAAAAAATCTAATTCTTAGAAACTCTAATTCTTTTAATTCTTTTAATTTTTTGATACACAATAGCAATGTAGAAATATTTAATTAGTATACAATATTATATACATGTAAAAAATTAATATTATATACATGTGTAGAATTTTGACAAATAAAATTAGCGTTAAAAATTGTATTAACTTTTTAATTTCAGATACAATATTTATAACGCTATATATATTTAGGTGTGTGTAAAACTGATATTATCGTAAACTTTGTACAGAACATTTCTCAAATAAAGTATTAACTATTTGAAACTGAAGAAACGCTTGGTTACATTCCAGCACACTTCGTCACGTTACGGATACGCAAGAACAAAGCAACATTTGCATTTTTGTTTTCTCGAAGAAATCGAGTTAAACGACGCACCAAACGACGTATAAACTTTCCACGTAGTTTTGTGCTCGTTAGAAAAACGGAAATACCCGGAAAATTACTGTTACTCTCGACAACAGCAAAAGACAGCGTGTAATAATCGTCGCGCTATTCTGAACATCTGAAATTTCCTTGAATACGCGTACGAGACCAAATAGAAAGTGATCTAAATGCCAATGTTTTTATATTTAAATTATTTTTGTCACACCAGATGGTGTGTGTCTTATTTTGCTGCGGCCTTGCGGTCACTCAACACAATCAACCGTATCCTGTGACCACACCAGTGCCTATTTTGAAACAGATCAACAAGTAAGTGCGTAAGAAACTTTACGTAATTGCATAAAAAAAAAAAAAAAAAAAACAATAATCCAACATATCTTTGAATATCTTTTACGTTCAGGCACGTGACAAAAGTTTTTAGTTTTTATCGCAAGATCGTAAGTAAATCGGTAGTCAATTACAGACTAGCATTCTGGTTTTAACGTGAGCTAAAACTAATCTGTAACTGGATTTACTTACGATTTTACAGTTACGACTAAAATTTTTTTTATCGATTAAACTACACGTGTCATTTCTTTCATCTTTCATGAACAAATGACAATACTATTTTTATAAATTATGCAATTATCTATTGTGTCTAAATTTATTTTGTCTAACAAATAGACATAAGGAAGATTGCTTTTTAAAGTTAATATCAGGTCTACCGGAAAGTTCTGTCCGTTTTTGGAATAAAACATAAAATACAAATTTTTCTTAATTTTTCAAAAATGGGATAAAACAAATTGCCCTCACGCTGGCAAGAAATCATTAATAATAATGGCAATTATATTATTTAATCAAGTTTATTGACGGTAAGAAAAATTTGTATTTTGTTTTATTCCAAAAAAACGGACAGAACTTTCCGGTAGACCTAATATAATAGTTGTTTTATTTTTCGACAGACATAATGAGGACGGAAGTTACAGTTACGGTTATGAAGCGGCGGACGGTTCGTACAAGATCGAATCCAAGTATCCGAACGGTGAGGTTTACGGCAAGTACGGTTTTGTGGACGACACCGGCAACGTGCGCGAGATCGAATACGGCGCGTCCAGGCGTGGCTTCGAACCAGTCGGTCCTGGGATAAACGTGCCCCCGCCAACCTTGACCGGTAACAGCATAGCCGGCGCGAATGAGCTCGAGGACGACGGACAGTATCGCGAGGATCCATCGATTTATCATACCGATCCGCGTTACACAAACGGAGAACGTTACGAATCGTTGGCCAAACACGGACGACAACCTGTCGCCTACAATTCACCGCAGCAGATCGCGCCGGCGCCAACGCCGATTGTTTATAACCAACCGAGGTAAGGTATCGATGAACATGTATACAATCTGTAGAAATTATCAATTTTCATTTGTAATTATAATATTTTCTTAATAAGTTCGAGTCGATAACTGAATAATTTAACTTTCTCGCATAAGAAACGTATTTCTAAAACTCTTTTGCGGTAAGAAATTATTATTCAAATATCGGTTCGAGGTTTTTTTAATATCTCTCGATAGATTACCAAATGTTTTTAAATTTTCACTCGATTGAAGCGCGCGCGCGAGAAAATCGATTCTTCTGCGGAGAGAATGCAAGCGAGATAAACCAGCTGACTAAAATGTCAAGCGAATCACTCGAAAGCGGAGAGATCGTGACTTGCTCAACTTGACTTGAGTTGAGAATCGGTCATAGCGCCGCGCTTCGGAGAACGTAATCGAGTCGATTAACCCAATTCTTCACGATTTTTCAGACATAATTCACCTGTCACTTATCAGCCGGTAAGTCCGCGATTTCAGCCGGAATATGAGCCGCAATACCGATCGCAGTACCAACAGCAATATCAAGGCCGGCAGCTAATAAAGTCCGCATATCCCTCGCCTGCGATTCCGGCCGGTCCTCAAGGACACGCCGCAACCAATCTCGACGTCAATGCCGGAGTGGCGTCCTACACGGTTAATTACAAACGATAGAAGAAACAAAAAAAAAAAGAGATTTTAATTATTTTGCGTGTATATATATATGTCGTTATTTATAGACGATTTTGACATTTCCGAGTTGCGTGAGTGTTGCAAACATTTACTTAATTATTTTCACGACGGCATTAATGTCAATGTCAAAATAATGTTTCGTATTATGTAATACGTTTACACATATTACTGCATAGTGCTCGAGAGGAGATAATTGAGATCGCATTTTTCTTTTCTTCGCAAGATTCTCGATGACAAAAAAATGTTTTACGTTCCTCTGCGTGTTTCGCTTTTAAGGCTTCTTCTACCTCATATTATTGAAACAAAATGTACTTCTTCCACAATTTCTTTATTTCTTGCGCGCATGTATTTCTTTCACTCTTTATGTAATAACACGTACACCGAAAAAATTGTATTCTTGTTTTGAGGATATCCCACTTACTTTAAGTATATTTTATACTAAAATAGGCGCCAAGAAGAGTTTCTTATTTTGAGAGGAAAATCCTCTAAATAATAATATTGATAAGAATATATACTGATTAGAATATAAAAAGCTTCTATAGAAAAACATATATATCTTACTATCGAAAAAGACTATATTCTTAAATAAAGAATATATTCTTAATTTCAGAAGAATATCATCTAAAATCTTTAAGAAGATTTTTTAAGTATAAAATCTTCTACTTACAAGAATATAATTTTTTCGGTGTATTCTTGCTGTATTCATATCGGTCCAATCAATAACATATGGAAGGTAACGGTGCATATCTGCCACAAAAAAAAATTGTATTCTTGTTTTGAGGAAAGAGAGATATCCCACTTACTTTAAGTATATTTTATACTAAAATAGGCGCCAAGAAGAGTTCCTTATTTTAAGAGGAAAATTCTCTAAATAGTAATATTGATAAGAATATATACTGATTAGAATATAAAAAGCCTCTATAGAAAAACATATATATCTCACTATCGAAAAAGACTATAACTATAACTATATTCTTAAATAAAGAATATATTCTTAATTTTGGAAGAATATCATCTAAAATCTTTAACAAGATTTTTTAAGTATAAAATTTTCCACTTACGAGAATATAATTTTTTCGGTGTATTGTCTAGAATTAATATATGTGGCGTCCACAGTTAAGAAGATCTAAAATTATGATCGTGGGTTACACTTAAAAAGTAGAATAACTGCGAGAGATCAATATACTCGCTTTGTCGAGCTGAACAACATGTCGTTATCATAATTTGATTCGATAATGTTACTTGATATATAAACACCTCTTGCAAGCTCAATGCAAATATTTGACAGCAGATCGCAATTGCGCGCATGCCGAATTGTATCGCAAAATGGAGATCCGGATCTCTACTTAACGGCGACACAAACGCATTTTTTTCTCTCGCGCACAAGGAACGCCGTCAAGCTATATATGACACACCCAAGAATTTTATTCGCAATCTTGTCGCACACGTTATGTAATATCTGAAAAAAAAAAATCACTCGCAAGTAGCTGCGTTCATTTTCAGTGTTTTACGAATAGCAAAACTCTGCATCTCCATAAATTGCTACAGACTGAATTTGTTATCGGATGATTTTTGTGTCTTAAATGTTAGTAAATATTTACACCCGATGTTTCTCTAAAATTATTATTACTATATACAGGTATAGAGAATTTAGATTTTAATGCTACAACGTTGTTTCACAAGAATGACATAAAAACGCGCTTTATGTTTGTTGCAATACAAAAAAAAGAGATGTGTAAATGTGATCTATATTCTATATGTGTCACGCGATATATATTTATAATAAAACGACACACATAAAAAATATATGTATTATACTATTGTTGTGTGCTGTTACATATTCAATGACGACAACTGTATCTCGTGAATGTCGTACGTAGGTATAACAGGAACTGCTGGAACTCTCGCGTCACACACTATCGCGTTTCAACTTCTGGGATCCGAAACTGCACACGCATGAAGGTACACACGTTGCGCATACGTGATACGTAGAGAGTGCTGCCGGACCACCGCCCAAGTCCACCTTTCACAAATGTGATCTACTCAATCTCGCTACGTATACGATCGGTCTACTGCCCAATCGAGCGTACGTGTAAGTTATCTCTCCTTGGGTCCCGATAGCTTCCAAATTTTCAGTGTAAACAGCGCGTACAGACAATATAATTCTAGAAGAGAGATTATATTCTAATTACCAAAAATAATACTGTGTGTGATAAAAAAAAAAAAAAAATAATAACAACAGAACAAGTAGTAAATTACAAATATACAGGGTGTCCCAGAATTGGTGTAACATCTCTCGTAGACAGGTAGAAGAAATAAAACTGAGTCGATAAGTCCTATACCATTTTGCTAGATTCGCAATAGTTACCGAGATCTTAATTAACAAAGATCAGCGAATAAGCGTGCATCGGGCTGTCTTAAAGGACAGTCCGGCGCGCTTCGCACAATTACATTTTAATATGTATATGTCATAGTATATGCTGTTATATTAGCTCCTCCCATATGCTCCTACGGGTAACACCGTAAGCGCGCGAAGCGCGCACTGGGCTGTCTTAAGCGAGTAAGTAACAGCCCGATGCATGCTTATTCGCTGATCTTTGTTAATTAAGATCTCGGTAACTATTGCGAATCTAGCAAAATGGTGTAAAACTTTTTGACTCAGTTTCACTCCTTCTATTTGTTCACGAGAGATGTTACACCAATTCTGGGACACCCTGTATATGCACTGACATGTAAAAAAAAAAAAATAAAATCAATTTGCAGTAATTTGCGTATAATAATATGCAACGTCAGATCATGATATCAAAAGTAACATCTTGCATCATACAAATGTATACGGATGACGCATAATGATGATACTGATCAACGGCGCGAGACCCTCCTTGAAAAGAAAGCACGAGCATTATGCCGTAATGACTTGTTGACTCTTGTAACAGCCGAAGAGCTTTATTTCCTTGTTTTTGATATGCATTTTATTGTGCGATGCGATACGCGCATGCACGCGCTGCGATTCCGCGTTCACTCTCGAGACATTCTGATGCAAGGCGTGGTGCGACGGTCTGGTGAGCCAGATGTCGGTACAGAAACTTGCTTTCCTTTGCCGGCGTAATGAACACGTATAAACTTTCCTCTTTTTGTCGCAACCACGTAATTATCAAACGGTTCGATTCGCTAAAATGATAAAAAAAAAAAAAAAAAAAAAACATTTGTATCTCTCTCATTATAGAACATGATATAATATTGTATCACAATAATTATGTTTTTTCGATACAAAGTTTTGATCTATCTTTCCATCTGTAGATATTTTTAACCTTTATTTATCTGTACATATTTTTTTAACCTTTATATATACGTATATATATTTCGATGTATGTGTGCGCTAAACTTTATTTTATAAATCACGCGAGAAATTAGAAACAATTAACATCTCCGCATGTTGTTATATGTAAATAAGCGATACCAACTGGATTTATGCGTGAAATTAAAACTTCACAGACACATGGGTTTCAATAAATTTATTATAAATTTACGATTGTGTGTGAAACGCAATGTAGAAAAGAACACCGTCTTTAATTTTTACGCTTGTTTCTCACAGTAAAGAATACATAAAACGTAATTAACATGATAAAGATAGTTTTTAAAAAGGGTTTTTAAACTTATCTCAATTAGAATACACATTGAATATTCTATTTTAATAAGTTCTATGAAAATTTATGTAAATAATGTGACTAATATGTAAAGATGAACTTGTGTACGTAATAAAATTGCACGTATCCATATTGGTCTTTCTCCGAACACACGGCGCACGTGTCATGACGACTATATAGAACGACTTTTGCGTTTCAGATATATAATCAAAGCGCTAATCACATATCACCCTTCTCTTTACCGACCACACCGAATCGAGTTTTTGCATTGGAGTTCCAGTTTAAACGTGAGCAGCGCGATCGAGTTGTCGTTAGGCGCTTGGCAATCGGTCCGATTGTTGCGCACAAAAATAGAAAGCGTTTTAACATTAAGTCACAATTCTCGACATTTCGGCAAAAACAGAAATTTGGGTTTTTTTTTTTTAGAAAGTCGACAATTTTCTAAAAATTTGAGAAAGTTGTAATCGAACTCGGTAATCGAAGACGTTTCCAACAAACTTGATAATAGATGTTTTATTATTAGATTATTAGATTAGAAAGAAAGAATGCTTGTTGCTGTAAATCGTTGCAGCAACGCCGCAACTTGATAGAAGTTACATAATAAAAATAGAGGAAACACGCGGTGTTCAATATGCAAAAGAGAAAAAACAGGATTGCTGGACGTCCTACAAGCGCATATCGAGGAACTAATTCGATCTGAGATGATCTATATTGGTAAATGTCAGGGCTGACGGGGCGCGATGGTTTTCCGAAGAGAATGACTCGTGAAAGGCCAAGCAAATCGATTGTCGTACGTAAAAGACCTTGCATACTTTACAACAAAATACAAAGATATTTGTTTTTGCATACATAATCGCTAATATACATATAATACTATCGATTAAATTGAAATAAAACATTGTTCCTGCGATTGGAGAAAAACTTGGCGATTGAGCGCTATTCGGTATTGAAAGATTACACCGAAAAAATGGTATTCTTGTTTTGAGGATATCCCACTTACTTTAAGTATATTTTATACTAAAATAGGCGCCAAGAAGAGTTTCTTATTTTAAGAGGAAAATCCTCTAAATAGTAATATTGATAAGAATATATACTGATTAGAATATAAAAAGCCTCTATAGAAAAACATATATATCTCACTATCGAAAAAGACTATATTCTTAAATTAAAAATATATTCTTAATTTCAGAAGAATATCACATCTAAAATCTTTAAGAAGATTTTTTAAGTATAAAATCTTCTACTTATAAAAATATAATTTTTTCAGTGTATATATATATATATATACACGTACACCGAAAAAATTGTTTTCTTGTTTTGAGGATATCCCACTTACTTTAAGTATATTTTATACTAAAATAGGCGCCAAGAAGAGTTTCCTATTTTAAGAGGAAAATCCTCTAAATAGTAATATTGATAAGAATATATACTGATAAGAATATAAAAAGCCTCTATAGAAAAACATATATATCTCACTATCAAAAACAACTATATTCTTAAATAAAGAACATATTCTTAATGTCAGAAAAATATCATCTAAAATCTTTAAGAAGATTTTTTAAGTATAAAATCTTCTACTTACAAGAATATAATTTTTTCGGTGTAAGAATCACCTTGTCTCTTTTGATGGTTAAGCGAAAATTTGACCGCTCTTCCTTTCACCGAGCGGCATTGCAAGTGCACGCTGCACCAGACAGATCTTTGATGAAACAATGAAACAGTGAACATAATCTGGGTCGCTTCCGAGCAATTAGCGCGGATCTTAATCATAGGGTACACGCCCCGTGGAGAACATCGTTAACCCACGCCACATAATCGTCTCATAGGCATCCTCGAGGACACAGTTACATTCACAGACATCAGAAATAAAAAAATGTTTTTTTTTTTTATCTCTTTTTCTTCACTCTAAAACAACATAATGAAATGTCGACAAATATAGCTACGAGTGTCGACACGTTATCGATATTAATTGGTAAGGAAAATTGGCCAACGAATCGAGAGAAAGAAATAAATCGGTCGCGATTGGTTAGCTACTATGTCAGTTGTCTACCATGCAGATAGAAAGTTGCAAAATGTCGATCCACCGGATAATTTCATAGGCGGAACCTAACGCGATCCGCAGCAACGCCTTTCGCAAATCCTCGGAGAAAACACCATGCGAGTGATATCGTACCGGCTTTTGCAAAGGCCGCGTACTCCATTTTATTACCGAATCGCTGCTCAACCTTGCTTCAGTCAGTTTCAAGGAGACGAACAGGAGTTCACGCTGTTATATTTTAAGGCGCCCAATATGCCGCTCTCTTTCTCTCTCTCTCTCTCTCTCTCTCTCCTCTGCTGTTGGTTTTGCTTTTATTATTTTTATTATCGTTCTTCTTTATCTTTCAGTCATTATATTTTTTATTGTTATTTCATTATTTTTAATTTTTTTTTTATTTTTAGTTTTATTTTTATTTTTATTTCTATTTTACATATTATAATCAGTATTGTTACTATTTTTATTTTTATTTTTTGTTCACTGTGTATTTCTTTGCTGTCCTTTGCGCTTGAGGGGATACTATATCCCAGAGCGAACTATAAATAAAAGCGAATATCTATCTATCTATCTATCTCTGCATTCTCAGAAATTGATTTTTAACGATAACCAAATGTCTTTTGAACGATTCTCCAAATCTCTACTTATGTTTTCTTTTCTCTTTTTTATAAACTGGAAACAAATATGTTTCGTTATGTGTTCTATTTAATTATTCATTCCAAAATGATACAAGTATCATATATTACACGCATCTCTCGTTCAACTTTCACCGCGTTTAATATTAACGAGAAAAATGTCATTTAAAATAACATGCAATTATTTTACAAAAAAAACGTTAATTATTTACGAAAGAGTATTCTTTTCTAAATTTCTATCTCTGTTACGTGCTAATTTGATTTTTGAGAGAAAATTTGGCAAGAGAGATGAGGGAGAGACGGTAAATCATACATACATATATATGTATATAAACACAAAACGGAACGATATAATACACTTTCTCTTTTTCGAGAGATACTATATTATATATCTACTTGAACAAGAGCAAGAATGAGTGTCGCGGGACAAGACATTGTTGAGATCAATATTACGTAAGCCCTCGATACTTCGAATCGCGGTCGATTGCGTTTGATCTTTCGATGAACGGTCTTGTATAATTTAGGCGCTTGCAGAAAATGCTTTCAATAACATATAGCAAGTAAGGAATTTTATTAATGCTTATTAATTTTTAATGGCTGATCATCGGGTACGCGTCACGTAATAATCACATGGAACATTAACGTCTTGCGACAGTAATAATGTAATTCTTGCTCTGATGAATTTCCTTTTAATGTAATAATTAAAATTATTAATTAATTAATAATTTTTAATGTAATAAACGTAACATTTGTAATTTTGTTAAAGCGCTGTGATATATCGAATATTTTAACAAGCGTAAGTAAAATAATTTGCTTCGACTTAATATACAACATGATAGCGGATTGATTTTTGGGTGTATATAAACGAAAGTGTGTGACTTGCATGCGTGACATGAGAGTTGCAGAACCCGTCAAGTTAGTGATCTAATACTGGATTTAAAATATCTCGATTGCAAAAAAAAAAAAAAAAAAAAAGACTGAACGATAGTAGCGCAGATAAAATAGTATTCTTTTTTAGTAGATTATTCTGCAATCGGGAGGGGAAACGGGGTAATCACTCTGATAAGAACGAGTGCGCTCGTTCAAATTATTTTGAACCGTTGGCTTCTCTCTCTCTCTCTCTCTCTCTCTCTTGTGCAATTTCTCTTTTGTAGCCTCAATCTGTATCACCACAGTTTTACATAATATCCCACCTTAGAAAACTCGGCACACCAGTTTCACAAAACCTATCTCATTTTTTTTTTTTTTTTCGTCGAGACGGGTTACATACGACCGGCTGCCAATTTCTATATTGAAATTCGAGTCTGTTTATCAACTAGAAAAGACGACGCCGCGTTTCGTATTAGCCGCGAAAGAAAATTATTATTGTTTGCGTCCCGACAATTTCGGCATTTGCACAATGTTGCAATAAGCGTGCGATAGAAGATTACAAAACACGTTATTCTTTCAAAAGCGACGATATTCTTAATTCGACGAAATCAATCTGACTGATTCGATTGAACCAGCGTGATTTTCCAGATTCCCGAGAAACCGGGACAGGACTGGTGAGGAATATTTAGGGGATATAAGGTGCTGTGTAGAACCGAGAGACACAAGGCGATCGCGCGCGCGTACGTACATACGGGAGTCGAATAGATAGTGAAAGTCCCCCGGAGCAAACAGGAGTGCAGAGTACGGGAGCGGGGAGAGGGCCTCAGTAAGGTATATGAGGGCCTCAGTTCGAGCAATCGCTGGTACTCTAGCCTCGCTGTGTCTACTTACATTCACACACACTAACACAACCACCAATCGCCAAAAAAAAAAAAAAAAAACACGATGCACAACCTCGCGACGGTACGTATTTGAGTGCGTCATTATTTATCCTTCGTTCATTGTTCTCGCGTCAGAGGATAGTTCTCGCTCATCTTGTGAATCTTTGCCAAAAAAAAAAAAAAAAACAACTTTGCAAACGTAAGCGCGAGAACGCGTGTGATGTGATTGTGGCTGTGACCAGTGCATATTCGTATTGTGAATACGAGAGAGAGAGACGCTTTTATCAACTATATATATATGGTTCTATTAATTCAGAAAAGATTTATAAACTTCTTGAGTTTTATTTCTTATGAACGTCGGCAGCAAAAGTTGAAACAATACAAATCTATTTGTCGCGATAAAAAAATTTGTGTCGCAGTTTGTTGGAAGAATTACATCAAGAGTTCTACGTCTGTTAAAAAAACGCTGTTCAAATCTGATCAATTTTCAAAATCGAGATTTTACGGATGTTTTTATAATCAGTTTATCGCAGTTAATTTTCCGAGGTTTTGCCTCGATTCATTTCATTTTGTTTTTATTTTTTTCTTTATTTGAGAATTACGACTCTAATTACCGATCGTCGAAATCGTTGTTAAATCCACCGTAAAGAAGTAAAAAAAAAACGATCGCACATTATAATGCGCCAAGTTGTGTAACTCCCGTGATCTCGTTTCCTACTTTCTTTCACGTTGTTGAAAAATTGTAACTAAGGTTTCACCTATTAAACGCGCTGGTCGCATTAATTTTTTTACATCGCGCATTCGCCCACGATCGAGGAAAGACGATTATATAATTTGTTATTATGTTCGCGCGCGCGCGCGAAATCGCGTGCTATATGCTTGGCGAGAGTATGTATGGTTCTCGAAACCGATTATTATTACACCAGTCTCGGTTAAACCGTGGTTAAGTTAATTAACCTTATTGCTGCGTACCATACAAGGCGCAAACTAATCTCGTACGTTCGTTTTTCCGAAATATAAAAATTATTTTGTCCTCGAAATAATTTTATTCTTTTTTTTTGCACAAAATTAAATAAAGAAGCATTTATTTGCACGGTGAAATTTGTTAGGAATAAATGGAGAACGTAAGATACGTAAAAAAATATATAAAGAAAATCGTAAATTGACAGAATATGAAGATACTAGTGTGATTACGCAGGTAAAAAGTTTTTACGTTTTTTAAACGATATTTACAATAAATCCTTAATATTTTTTTCACACACTAACATCCGTGTTTAGGCTCTTATTGGCCCTTTGACCTTCCTTTTATAAAAAGTTTTTTGTAAAGATTGACAAAAGATAAATTACTAACGACAAGTAAAAACGCATATATATATATATATATAACTCTTCCAAGAGAGATAGAAAGTTCATTAACAGCCAATTCAAAGTCGCTTATACGTTGAATTTGATTCCACCTCTTTTCGGCATTTCACGCTCGCTCAATCAGAATCATTACCGGAAGCATATATACTATATGTTAAATTGAATTAATTATTCTTGTGATAGATTTTTTTTTAAATCACCACGCGCTTATTATCGCGCACAGGAATGGAAACCGAGGATCGTGCACGGTCACGCGTGGGCGATCGTAATTGATAACACGCATGATTTATATCTCTTATATCCGCGTGTATATGTAACTCAAGATCCGTTTGCATGCAATTCTCTGTTGCAATGATCGCGGAATCCGGCATGCGGTTAATTCCCGATCGTGTGTCGTAACCACCATCGCCGCGCGTCTGGTGGTTAAGGTTTTCCGCACTGAGAAATAGTTTAAGTTTACGCGCGACCTTACGTTTGACAAAGTCTACATTTGGAGGAAAGAGCCGGTGGAGGTGAGAGAGAAGGTAACGGTTTATAACTGACACACCCCGCGCTTCGGGACATTTCGCGCCCAGGAAATTTACTAACTTACAATGAGCCTTGACGTTCTCTTTTGTATGTATGTAAAAAACTCTAACGGGAATTGTTGCAGTCGCCCGTGACACAAAAAAGTTAATAAATCTAGCGTCACTAAAGAGAAGCTGTAAAACATTCAATTGTTGCTTAGTCTAACTACCACTTAGAGCAATTCCGATAATTTGTCTCAGTTTTATGTCAAGAAATTAAAAGAATATTAAAATTCATATTTATTAGTTATATTTATATTATATTGTTTTTTTTTTCTTCAAATATCTCTTCTAGCGTATATTTCGAACACGTTTGAATAATCGATAATTGATTTGCCAGAGGCGCCACAGAAATTGACACACTTCCGTGTTTCAGGTAGCAACGCTGCTTACCGCGCTGCTGGCGGTATCGGCGCAGTACCAGCAACCCGGCAGCAATTACGTCGACGACTACGCCCAGTACGACTCTCAACGGCCAAGTCAGCCGACTCAACGTAGCTACGCGCCAAACGATGTGCCGGATCGTCAGGCGGCGGCTCCAAAGCCAACGCCAGTCGCAATCTTAAAGCAGATCAATCGTCACAACGAAGACGGTTCGTACACATACGGTTTCGAGGGCGCGGACGGTTCGTTCAAGATCGAAACCAAGTTGCCGACCGGCGACGTGAAAGGCAAGTACGGTTTTGTCGACGATACCGGCAAGGTTCGGATAGTCGAGTACGGAGCGAATCAGTATGGCTTCCAGCCAGCCGGCGAAGGTATCACAGTCGCTCCGCCGACTCTGATTGACGAGACCACCAGCAAGGAGGCTATCGAGCAGCAAGCTTACGAAGAGTATCAGCGACAGCAACAACAACCAGCTCGTCCAGCTTATCAGCCACCTCAGCAGACGCACACGCAAGCTGTGTACGCGCCCGCTCAGGTAGCTCCGAGCAGACCTGCTCTTCCAAAACCGCCTATTTTCACTCCAAACGCTGCCGCTGCCCCGGCACCTCAACAGTCCCCGATACTTCAGCAGAGACCGGTTTACGATGAACCCGCGCCGGCCTCGCAACTTTACAATCAGGGACCGGCTCAGTTCAGTCCGGCGCCGTCTCAGGAACGCCGTTCTCAGCCGCAACCTCGCAGCGGTGGCGGCATCCTAGATCAGCTCGCCAGGGACTACGCTCTACCACAAGGAGTGGCGCCGCCGCTTCACGACATCAGCTTCGGCTATTACTAGGCTATCTAGTCTTGCCTCTGCCGGACGCTAGGAGAGTTTGGGATCAATTGTTACGACTAAAACAAAAATTTTTCGAATCACTCGATAAACATTTAACTTCTAACGCGTACTGAAGCAAAGATTTATTAAATTGTGTTACTTTTTAGAGATTACGGTTTTGATATACATATAACAAAAATGTATCATGATTGATTCCAATCTCATCTGCGTCTCGGTTGCGTGTTGGTCTTCTATTCTATTCCTGAATGGAACATCTCGACGACTAATTTTTAGCTCGTCGTGATCGCGACGCGGCCCGCTCGAGGTGGGCGGCTCTGTAATTGACAATCGTCTCGAATGGACCGTCCATTGTAGTTAGGGATCGAGAACTACGAGAATTGGTAATTAAACCCTCAAAAAAAAAACCCCAAATCACGAAAATTCCATTTCGTCCGTGTGATACGAGTTCTTTTTACACTAATGATATATATATTCTGGTTTACTTAATTAACAATTACAAATGATATTTTCCAAACGTAAAGCGACGGATCTCATCTGTTATACGCATCGTTCAATTCCGAATCGACCAAAACTGTGATAAAGAGCAACAATAAAATTATGTATAAGAAAAAATTCTCTGATAAAGATTAATTTATTATACACGCATGGACTAAAGTGGAATTTTAGCTTTATTGTATTTTTGTATATAAAACTCGAAACACTTTACAATATAAAATAAGATAAATAAAAAATGTTTTCTAAAGATACTGTAAAATAGATGCCAGAGGGATGCGCTGAGCTCATGGTCACACGTTTCTTCAATCACAATTTTTTTTTTTTATTTTCACGAGTGTTTTTACTGTGCAAATATGTATTATGTTTAAGGAATTCAACGTATCATTATATTATTTTTACGATCATCTTTTATAACAATCATCGAAAGTTGTGTGTTACACATTATCACAATTCATCAAAGTATCACCACGTAATAAGTAATAAAAATTAGATGATAGTAGTATAGGAGCTGTATATAAACACTCCGTTTTGTGTAAAAAAAAGTGTAAATAAAAAAAATATAATCTCTCCCTTTAGTGAACATCCACATATTTTTGTTTAGTCCAAAAAATATAGCTCGCCTTTAAGGTTCTTGCTATTTGAAGTACCGTTGCAAAGATATTTTATAGACAGTGTCTCGCGAGAACTGATGTAAACCGAACAAGCGTATTGTTATTAGATTATTATTTGTGTAAGATTATTGTAATTCGAGTGGAATAAAAATGAGACCAATACTATACATTCTGTATTCGATATTTTTATTTACAAAAACGCATAAACTTCCGACATAACAAAACTTTTTGATTTTTTTTATATTCTTTGAATGAAGTAATTACATAAAAAAAAAAAAACTAAACTACTTTTAACTCTTAAAGATTTTTACGCGCAAGCGTGTGAGAGACTTATATTGCAAAACAACTATTATTTGTGAATACGGCATTTAGTTTTAAACAATACTTCCCATTCTTGAAGATTTACACACAAGTTTTCGTTCAAGGATAAAACTTAATTTCTGTCGCAATGATTTTATGAGATAGATGAACAAGACGCCCCTGATGTAACGGCAACCAAAGTTACGTGGTGAAAGAAATGGCTGCGTGCGATCGCGATCTTATCTCTCTTTCTTTCTCTTCGGTCTCCAAATAATTGCGAAATGCGAATCACGAGTAAAAAGAGACCAGCTGGATTTCTCACCGGATAAATTTTTGCATCGCGCAGCATTTCTGACTTTTATTTTCTGTTTTCGGGAGAGAGGGGGGAAGGGGGTTGCCAAAATCGTACATTCCCACACCTTTATTGCGCACGCGGTTGGCCCGCGGTTTTTTCTCAGAATTTCGTCACACACAATGACAATTTGACAATAATTCTTAAAATATCGTCGGAATCGCGAGAGAAAAAGAAAGAAAAAGAAAGAGAGAAAGAGAGAGAGAGAGAGACTTGTTGCATCGAACAAAGGAGTTCTACTTTCGTTCTTCGGAAAGCAACCTCAAGGTGAGCGAGCCGCGGCGGCGCCATATTTTTCTATCTCTCCGCAAGTTTTCAGCATCCGGTTCGACGCGCAAAAGTCGCGCGTGTGTTACGCGAATTACGAAGTATTCTAAACTCTCGTTAATGCGCGTGTGACCTTGCTTGGCCCCGCAATTTCTAAGTGCCATTCTGCTTCCTGTATCTTTCGCAACGAGCGACAAGAAACGAGACTGTACGCTATGTACGTAGACACTTTTTTTTTTATCTATTGCAATTATTTGCGTATTATATAATCTGCAACTTTGCGTGTGTCCTATATTTATTTTTTCGCAGCATTATTTTGTTATCTCGTTCCTTTAACACGTCACGCATAAATCTCGCTTGCGTTACTTTTGGCGTTGCGTGTTTCAAGAGCCGTGCAGGGGGCGCATAACAAATACTCTCTTTTTTCTCTCCTATCACGTACTGCGATTTGCAAGATAAAAAAGATTCACAGACGCGCGCATCCACTTGTAATCGAAGGGCGCCGCGCATTAGTATAAACACCGTGTGTTTGCGATTACGGAATAAGTTGGAACGAGTTATACTTTGGCGTGGCGCCAGACAATCGCGTCATAATACACACCTTGGTGCAAGGTGGACACAACGTTACTTCATGTGCGTTGACCTTCTCGCGTGCAAAGAGGCGCCCGTGCTGGCGTGTCATACAACGATCTGATATATTGACGAAGATGCGACATTTGCGCGACGTAACACGTACGACTTTGTCGTAATATAATCGTTCCGTAAAAAGCGTTTATCAAGACTTTGCTAATTATCGCAATCTTACGTGTTTTCGGAATGATCCTGATTGGTCTTGTTTACACTAAAGGTAAAATATCGCCTATCGGCGATAACGGCACCGATTCGACAACTTGCTATTGCTTCGAAATTCATAATGTTGCTGAATCACGCGTGGCTCACAAAATTACACACGCTGCTCGTATAACGGACCGTTGACACTTGTGTCAGCTAGGCGAGTCACGCAAAACGTTTTCTTGTGAGATTTCAACATTAGACGACGGGCTGACACACAAGCTTCACCTACCTCGGTTTAAATTTATGTCCAAAGTTACACGAAGTCTAACGATAATAACGTTGACGCAAGCGATCGTGACTTTTGATCGAGACACGCTCGACGAAAATACGCAGAACCAATTTATTTTTTCAATTCATTTTTTTTTTTTTTTTAATTTATTATTTCAATCAATTTATTATTTTTTCTTCTCGATTATTATTTTATTTGATTTGATTAACGCAGAATGTTTATCAGATTTAGAATCTCTTTTTTTGATTAGTCATTTTTAACTTTTTTTTTTATTTTTACTAGAAAATATACTTTCTTTGTTAACTCGAGCAATTTGTCTGCGATCATCTTGCGAATAATTCGACCAGTAGAGAAACGTTTCGTAATTGTCCACAATATAATTAATACGTACATTCCACGTATACGCGTAACGAGAAATGATATGGTATCCGTTCTCTCTCTCAAATTTTACGTAATACCAGAAATAAAACTGATTAAATATGAGCAGCACGCGAGTTACGACGGATAACGAAAGAAATATATGTAACGCACCTATAAACACTTAGGCCGGATCTCTGCGCGAGTGTGAAAATAGCTTCGTGAAAATAAACTTTCCCCTTCGAAAGTTTTTAAGACGGTCAGCTGAACAGCGTGTGGAATTCGCTTGTGATCACGTCAAGAAATATATAGCAGCATTGATAATGAACTACGTATGCGGTTGCAAAATAATGTAAAAATTTGGCACATAATCACAAGATACGTATCACAATTCGTTTTCGTCGCAACAATCGGGTGAACACACGGCAGAAAATGCCGCGACGATTATATACGAACCGAATGTCTAGGCACGTGCCTCGTGCTTGAGCGCTATGATCCTCACGAAGAGATGAATCGATGCTTCGCAAGAAATAACAACATCGTGTCATACCTTCGACGTGATGCCTGGTGGCGACGCGAGAGAATCACTCATCCCCATTCGCCTCATCTCTTCATTGATGATACCGAGAGAGGGAATACACCTCGGTCGGATCTAATGAAAGTGAACGATTGCGGTTTTTTTTTTCCGAGAAACCGGCTTTGCGATCACTCTCGGAACGGAACAAGGTATACGCTGCTGGTGCACTTTGCTACCGAGAATTCTCGGATAATTTCATAGAAATCCGAGAGCCATTACAGAAATTATTATTTGTATCGCGAAAGTCATTGATTTCCGCAATATTGAAATATGTATAAACTTTTGTTTTATATCATGTAATTATTAAATATATTGTATTGTATGTACACGTACATCAAAAAAATTGTATTCTTATTTTGAGGAGAGATATCCTACTTACTTTAAGTATATTTTATACTAAAATAGACGCCAAGAAAAGTTTCTTATTTTAAAAGGAAAATCTTCTAAATAGTAATATTGATAAGAATATATATACTGATTAGAATATAAAAAGCCTCTATTGAAAAACATATATATCTCACTATCGAAAAAGATTATATTCTTAAATTAAAAATATATTCTTAATTTCAGAAGAATATCATCTAAAATCTTTAANAAGATTTTTTAAGTATAAAATCTTCTACTTACAAGAATATTATTTTTTCGGTGTATTATTGCTGTATTTATATCGGTTCAATCAATAACATATGGAAGGTAACGGTGCATATCTGCCACCGAAAAAATTGTATTCTTGTTTTGAGGAGATATCCCACTTACTTTAAGTATATTTTATACTAAAATAGGCGCCAAGAAGAGTTTCTATTTTAAGAGGAAAATCTTCTAAATAGTAATATTGATAAGAATATACTGATTATATACTGATTAGAATATAAAAAGCCTCTATAGAAAAACATATATCTCACTATCGAAAAATACTATATTCTTAAATAAAGAATATATATTTTTAATTTCAGAAGAATATCATCCAAAATCTTTAAGAAGATTTTTTAAGTATAAAATCTTCTACTTACGAGAATATAATTTTTTCGGTGTAAAGAATGTGCAGTTACTACAATTGATATATATCGGTTGCATAAGAAAATTCATACTAATTTTCAGAAAGTGTTCGGTATTAGAGATAGATTCTTAAATGACCCAAATTTTTGAAGCAGCGACTATATATATCGCTGCCTTCCTTATTTCGACAAGCTGACAGAACACATCGAATCGATGGCTATAGCGATTACGCTAAGTGCTCTTCCGTCCATAATACACAACGAGCGAAAGCGCGGCCGACGTCTTCTGTAGACTGTACACACAGATCGCGTGAACGTTCCACAACTATGGTAAGAAATAGGAACATCAATTACCCTGCAACTCTCCCAAATTAATATACATCGTTCTCGCGGCACCGTGGAGACGTTATAGCCACACGGTCTCTCCGTCACTTTCTTCTTCTCAACGTTGCGCGCACCGTGTATGCGCTCTCGTCGTACACACAATTCGGTAAAATCAACGTGGCAAGATTTCATTTCTGCCAATATCATTATCGGTGTAGCAGCATACGCTACACACTGTAAAATACGTGATATGGTTGCTGAAAATTGTGTGTTTCGCTTTTCTTTCGTTTCAATCTCAAGAGAAGATTAAGATATATCTTGGAACGAAGAAACTCTCTTGAGATCTTGTTTCCGCAAAATTTCAACGAACAGACAGGCAATGTAATAGATTATTCGCGTTTCTATCGCGACGTTAGAAGACACAACCTAATTTAGTATAAACATTTTTGTTTGGCGCCTCAACTTCAATGTGCCAAAGTGCTAAACGATTTCCACTCTAACGTGTATCGAGTCACGAATGTATCTCGATTATATATTCGCCCACGTGTACAAATTTTTCTCACGACCCTGCTCGATCTAACTTATCGTTCGATCTAAACTTTCGTACTCTAATCCGCTACGCGGTCTCACACAATGCACGTTACTTGCACGCACTCTGTGATATAATTAGACAATACTTTTCAAGTGATAATGAAAGTTAGTTGATTAAGCATTATATATATCAATAAAAGAAATGAAGTTTATTATCCGCTAACGCAACGTTTAATTTCTCGCGCAACTTAAAACAAAACAAAATTATTTAACAACTCTTATACGTTTTATTATAAACCGGATTTTTACGATTGTATTTTAAGATTGATTATTGAGATATAACACGGAAGAGACTTGCTACACGTATGTGCCATAACACACACACACACACACACAGAGATTATATTAGAGACCAAGCAATTAATAATACCTGTGCGTTGGTAATTAGCGCCAAATATCCTGAGGGCGCTATTATTCTTAAACCAGATGTCTTTCTATATCGTATAATGACTAATCTAATTTGAGTCATGGGGACGTAACATGGTGAAGCGTGGTCTACGCGCCCAAGTGGAAGCGAGTTCTCACGACCCTGCTCGATGTGGGCATTCGGATTATCCCCAGAGATCGATGTGTCCTATACACATAAGAACAATCATCATCATTGTGTACGTAATTACGAGCAGGATCTGACAATGGCACAAGGGTCCGGTTGTGTACACCCGGAATCTAATTCGCGGGTGTTGAGAAGACGACGTAGTCACTATTCGACGAGACCGTGGTCCCCCACTATAAGCAAAAGCCTTCGTATAGGTTATAAAGGAACGAGCACAGTACTATACGACTGCACTCTCTCAGTGAAACTCACGGAGGACCGTTCCCCGACAAAGTATTTTACCTCCCCTCTTCGTTAGCGACGCGTGCACCATGAGGATTATACTGCTGGTACGTGCCCCAAAATTTATTCGACTCTCTTTTCTTCATCAAAGTGTAAATTTTTAACTAAACTTACATTTTTTTATGCGTCAATTTTTTTATTATCAAAATTTCATGTATTTTTCCGCGTTGCATTTTTTTTACTATTCAAAAATTGTCACAGATTGAAAAAATTTTATTCAACAAATAATTTACTTATTATTATTTTTACAAAATTTTTTTCAATACAATCGAGGTATATGTAATATCACACATAAGCAAATATTTATTTTTGTTTTTGAATCTTACGTAGAAAATTATTCAAATCATACAATTATTTTACATATTGTTTAATCTTTCATAGAAAATTAAAATTTATCTTATTTCTATTACTCATAAATGATAACAATTGTTATTATTAAGTATTATATTTTTATTTTACTATATAATATATATATATTTACTATATAATATATATTTTTACTATATAATATATTATATTTATAATCAATTGTATTAAGTCACTTAAATTAATTTAACTATACAGTATATTCATTTTACTTTCGCCGTTTCTATCGCCATAAGTCATCAAGCTTGTAGTAAGCCTCAATTATGCCTTTTACGTTTTAAAACGTTTAATTGTGAATTGTGACCCACGCGCGATGTTCTTCAAAACCGGCTCATTATCCCGCAATTTACATCAAATTAACCGTCGTTAACGAAGAAAAGTCGGAACATCGATGATATGATCTACGATGGTTCATTGTTGCGCGATTCGCGCGCGCGTGTGAAGGCACTTACGACTCTCAGAGACGGTAACGAAATTAAACAACAACGAAAAGTGACTTGTGTGTTTGCCCATGCCCGCGGTGTTCTCAATACGGCCTTGCGCGCGAGAATGTTCGTTGAAAATCTCTTTATTAATTGTTTTCGCTCGTGCGAAAAAAACGCGTCGACCGCGACGAAAGTGTTGAACTCAAAATTGCGACAAAGTTTTCCCGCAAATTAATTTACGTATATACCCGCAGGTATATACCTGTTGACATCGTCCGTTACCCTTAATGAATCTACGCGGTTGGGTAACGTGTTCTTTTGTCGAATGGGAAACAGATTTTCGCTACTCGCACGCCACAAAAATCCGTCTCGCCGCCGCAAAATAGAACGCGCGGCGAACCGCACGTAACGTTACGGAAACATTTTTTTGAAACTCGTCGCGGCAAGTTATATTTTTCAAACGTGCTCGTTATACGTGCTTTCCTGATTGATAGTGAAAGTTGTCAGTCCGTATTGTATTGTTACACCAACCAAGCACGCTGGTTTCTTAAGCTGGTTCTTTTTATTTTTTACAACTCGAGTAGAAGTGCGGAAAGATTTTTTTTTTTGATGACAGACAAAGGTAATTCTAACGATGTAACGGAAATATTAATTTTCGATCGGTTTTCAATTTTTTTCCCGCTCAAAAATGACGCGTAATCGTCAATTAATCGGGCGCATTTATGCGTGTTACAATATAAAAGGTCTACGCGGCACGTGTTTGTGAGAAACGTTTGTAATCGTTGATTTCACTATAGTCCGCGAAGATATCATGATTACAATTCGCGAATCGCGCGAAGAAATGCGTGACACGTGTGGATTTCTCCGATCCTCGCGGCTTCGCGTTAACGCGCAACAATTAAGCGCTTATTTACCAATTCAACAAACCGACTTGTTGTTGTCTTTGCGTTCCACGTGTACGTGATTTCTCGAGATAGAGAAAAAAAATCGCGCGCGCGAGAGAAAACGCGAGTGATTTGAAATTCATGTCTCATGCCAGAGTGGAAGTAAGATATAAAAATTCGCGATACGTGTGCGTTCCGGCGAAACGTCTCGAACCGATACCAAGAAATCGGCGCGATCGGCACGATCGAACGATCGACAGCTTAAGTGGTCGCAGTAGTCTGATTATTGGCACTTTCACCGATCACAAATATGGAACGTTGCTTTTCGTGGAAATTTTCGCGTCGATACGACACGCGATATCATGTCGTTAATCTTTTCACCCCCCTTCCCTCCCCGGCACATATCATCGTTGATATCAAAAATACTTTACTACTATAAAAGCTATACTGTATGTCTTGTGATAGGAATCTATCAAGAATGTGTTGAGTTCGATACCGACAATCGCGAGAAACGCGCGTTTTCCAATGACGCAGCTCATCTTGTCTCTCGGAGTGAACCGAGAATCAGCTTTTTCGTTCTCTCGTCCGATCGAAGTCACTCGAGCACGAAACGACGATGTGCACGCGACGAGCGGTCGCGCGATTTTTGCCGGCAAAAAGACGACGACGACTTCTACCGCGATACTTCTCGTCGTGTCGTTCGTCGCCGAGAAACCCGGTTTCCCGGAGCAGTTAGAAACCGCGAGGACGCGCGAGAGACGCGGAGAAACCGACGCGGCGGCAACGCCGAATTGCGAAAGCGAGGCTAATACATATAATAGGAGCAAATCTCTCGCTCGCTTTCTGCGGCGATTCTTCGACGATAAACGATCCTCGCACAGGTTGAGGGTTTTACTTTACGCGGCTATTCGCCGCGGATCTTTCGGCGCGCTCATTAAAGACAGCGATGCACCTATATCGGCGAGCTATTGGATTATGACTCTCTACGGTCATCTTTTTTATTACGTCGTTGCGCAACAGGAAACCGATTGTCGCGCGCTCGCTTGTTGCCCCATCGTCGTTTGCTTATCGACGATATTCGTCAATTTACTCTCGACAAAAATCTAAAGACAATTATACACGTGCTTTTTTGAATTTTTCTTACCGCGAATATATGAAATAATTATATGGGGATATTTTTTTTTTTTTTTTTTTAAACTACGTAAAGTTTTTTTTATCGCGGAATGTCGTCTCAACTACCCGGCTAATTAGCATTCTGAAACAAGGCTCTCTCGTTTTTCCAGCGGCAGCACGGTCTCATTAGATAGCCAGTTTGTTCCAAAAGAAAATGTGAGAGCGAGAACAAGTATCGCGCAACACACGCGGGCCTGGCAAATCCATAAATTAAGGGCATGCCGATCTTTCGAGCAAACCGCGAGCGCTTGCTCCTTTCGCAAACGCACCGCGCCGCCTGTGGCGGTGTTATAATTACATTCGATTATTGTGGATGCAAACGGGCGTGCAAACGCATTAGAGGGTTTCGCCGCACAAAACAGCGAAGTATTGTGCAGATTGTAGTTTGGAAACACATATCGGAGAGAATCTTTTGCGCACACACACACGTTGTGTCTATAACGACACAAAAGACTGATTAGTTTGCGATCTAACGATAAAAGTGAAAACTCTCATTTACCACGATGAGATTGCTCAATTAAAAGTTCGAAAAGTCGATCTTTTTTGGTGAGAACAAAAAATTAGGATACCGGTTTTCTTATTGTTTGGCATTACACGTAAAATTGCTTTCTCGCAATTGTGATTCTGAAACAAAAAACTCTTCGTTGGAATATCAGTTAAAAATAAATCCATTTTTTTCTTTTTCATTCTAACGGGAGAAATTAATTCATCAAAAACCTTGAGAGACTTTCTATAATTATTTTTAACAAAGGAAATATGTACTCTCTTCATTGTTTTTGTATATTTTTTATTAAAAAAACTCATCGACCATAAACGTGTTTCATTTGATTGTTTCAATTATGATTGTAAACAAAACTCTCCGTTGGAATATCAGTCAAAAATAAATCCATCATGTATTTTACTGCTCGTATCGGCCTTATGACTTATTTTATTTTTTTTAAAATAAATCCATTTTTTTTTCATTCTAACAGGAGAAATTAATTCATCAAAAACCTTGAGAGACTTTCTATAATTATTTTTAACAAAGGAAATATGTACTCTCTTCATTGTTTTTGTATATTTTTTATTAAAAAAACTCATCGACCATAAACGTGTTTCATTTATGATTGTTTCAATTATGATTCTAAACAAAACTCTCCGTTGGAATATCAGTTAAAAATAAATCCATTTTTTTTTTTTCAATCTAACGGGAGAAATTAATTCATCAAAAACCTTGAGAGACTTTCTATAATTATTTTTAACAAAGGAAATATGTATACTCTCTTCATTGTTTCTGTATAATATTTTTTATAAAAAAAACTCATCGACCGTAAACGTGTTTCATTGAGCAGTTTCACGCGGTAAAATAAACAAATCGGTAAGGAAATTGGGGTGCGTCGAATTAATTTATTAATCCGCACTTTCGACTTTCCCGCGAGAGACTTGAAAAAGCACGTCAGCCGAATGTTGACCGAGTGACATTCTAATGATAAAAAGAAAAACGAAAGTTAGAGACGCGAACGGTCAACCGTAAATACGAATTGCGCGCGGCTCTTTGGCGCGCGATTTCGTCGCGGCCGGACGGAAGAAAGTGAGAGCGCGAAACGGAGTTTATATAGCGCAAACAGTGATCGCCAGTTTGTGAACAGCCAGCGCTCAACAGACAAGGGCACACACCGGATCGCTAAGCGGCATACCAATGGTATGCCGCTACTCGACGCCCATATGAAATGAGTCACGTTTCGCTCTCACACCGCAAAACCACCCGCACGCTCTCTCAAAGTTAAATTTTTCTAAGCACCTTTCTTCCGAGTCTCTTTGTTGCACCGAGCGCTTACTTTCAAATATTTGCTCCGACCTTATGTGAGAACGCGATCGCGGGACGACTGCACTGATATCTCTCTTCTCTCTTGAGTCTTGTTCTCACTTCCGGCAGATATTCCGAGTTAGTGGGATGTACAAGTCCCCGGCGACAAGAGACTCCTCTCTCTCTCTCTCTCACGTGTCGATCGCGCGAACAGGATGTTCGTCGTTCTTCTTCTTCCGTCGCGAGAAATTCATTCTCATCCTGACTTAGAATAGCAAGAAAATAACAGCGCTTAGATAATGAAAGTCGCGAGGTTACGGATTCTTCGTGACGACAATCCGCATTATCCTTACGGCGGCGTCCTCGACGGGGGCCGCCGCGCATTGACGTAATCATCAGAATGTCTATGTGTG